TCCGAGCTGCGAGCCGTGAGCTGCAAGCTGCCAAAATGCATTTCAAACTAGCCAGTCAATGGGCTTGCAAGAGAATTTCGTTTCGAAATTTATGATATCTGTCGAGTGGACTTATTCAATCCCAATTATTCATATGGAATTCGCAGCTGCCGTTGTTATCCGTTCAACGCCTACGCGATCTTAGCTCTGGCTCTCAGTTATTTCGTGTCTTGCTTTTTTGGCAAGTCGTGTGCAAATTATAATTTATTTTTGTGCGCCCAGCATAGTCTACTACAGAGATGTGTATATAGTATTTTACTTTTCATTGAAAGATATTTTCCCTGGCACATTTTATAATAAATTATGAGCGATACATATATATTGAGTATATATAGAAAGCTTTGCTAAGCACAAGCTCGCCGCAAGTCTGCAAACGTTGCGCCTAATTTCCGCTGCGGCCTTCTATGCCCCCCCCAAGCCTCCTCCTTCCCCCTCCCACTCTCTAGCCACACTGGCAAGGGTAAGGACAAATTGCAGAGCCTCTGCTCGGCCTGTAAGTTTTTCATTGAGATTTTTCTCTTTCACTTTCGCCTGGCTGTCAGCACGAGCTGAATCGCCAAAAATGTGACAATCAAATTTGACATGTGACTTTGGCATTGACGTCTGCGCGAATAATCTATTGAAATAGATGTTAAGAGTAAAAATAAATTGAAATCTTGTACAACAAAAAAAAAAAAATTGCTTTAACAATAAGTAAGCCCGCTGAAGGCCACGGTGAAGAAACGGCAAACAAAAGAAATAACAAAGGTCGCCAACAGCTATGATATTTCATATGCCCAGCGATACAAATACATATATCTAAATAATCATTATTTTCTTTTAATAGGTTATACGGAAGGCATGCATCAATGGCCATTCCATAAAATCAGATAAGATGTGCGGTTGAAAATAGATTTTCGTAGCATTTAAATGGGGAAAGAGCCAAAATCACGTTCTGATTTATGAGCACATGCCGCACAGCAAACATAATAATATTTTATTCTTTTATCATTTTTATAGCGCTTGTTAATTGTTCGACAGCAATCTGTGCTGTTTATGCCAGTATTCAGTTTGTTACGGCGGGTTCGTCAGACAGTCAATCAAATAAACAGACAGTCAGTCAGTCATACAGTCAATCAGTCAGTTAATTAAACAATCAATCAGTCGGTCAACAAACCAGTTAATGTGAAAATCAGAGAATATATTAGTCAGTCTTTCAATCCGTCAGTCAGTACATCAGCCAACAATTTAATAAGTCAGTCAAACAATCGGACATTCAATCAATCAGTCAGATAATCAGAGTCAATCACATAGTCAGTCTTTCCTTCAGTCAACTAATCAGTCAGTCAGTTAATTAGCAATATGGTCAATCATTAAGAAAGATAGTCGGTCAATCAGCCAGTCAATCAAGCAATCACTCAGTCAGTCAATCAGTCAGGCAATCAGTTAATCTTATCCTCAGTCAATAAAAAATCAACAGCATTAAGAACATAAAAAATCAATAGCAATAGAATCTAACATTAAGAAACTCAGTCAGTCAGTAGGTCAGTCAGTTAGATTGAAGCCAACCGACACCTTATCCAATCTCGGTCATTTTTTGATTTATGGACACGCTGCAAGGCAATCAAAATATATTTTATTGTTTTATAATTGTTATAACTTTTGTTAATTGTTCAACAGCAATCGGTGCTGTTTATGCGGGTTTTACCTACCGTCAGTCCGTCAATCAGTCAATCAGCCGGCCAGACTGAGCGCGACTGACACTTAACCCAATCTCGACGAGACTTTTGCGGTTGAGACAAAAACTGTCTGCCAGTCACGTTTGTGGTGCAAAGCAGCCCGTTGTGGATCACGGGCCGGGGTGGTGCAGTGGTGCGATGGAGCTGCGGTGCGGTGTTTCTGTGGTACCCAACTTTATCTGCACTTCTTCAACGTAACGAAGATATTTTGTGTTTTTTTTTTTTTTTCGATTATTGTGGGCGTTTATTTTTAACGCATTGTGATTGTTATATAATTGCGACGGTGCGACGTGCTTAGTCAAATTGCGGGCTCCAAGTTGTGTAAGCCCACGTCTCAGTCTGCCCGCAGCCCGCAGCCAGCAGCCCGCGATCCCCTTGGCCCATCAGTCCAGGCCGGCGCCACTCTCGATTGCGAGCTTTGCGAAAGTGTGCCGCCGGTTTAACCCAATTCGATGGGAATTGCGTATGAGAAAGTGAATAAGTGAATAACCCAGTTCGAGTCTGATTGCTTTCGAGATGGACCGGATCCGTCAGACAAATAAATTATTATGCATATATCCTGCATTCAACGAAAGAAAACACCTTTCTAAATTCTAGATTAAAAGCGATTGAAGTAATATGGTTTTTAAACTATGAAAAACATTTCGTTCTTCAAAAATTGCTTCAGCATAAATCATTTGCATTTTTAAAGTGAAGAAAGAAAGCACTTGAATTAAGTAGAAAACACAAGAATGTGCATGCTTGAAATAAGCCTAAATCATTCTCTAAGGAACCACTTGCTTTATATTGAGACCAGGAGCCATTTAACAAAAAGTTATTTGAAACATAAGTTTCATTCTTGGTTAAAGACAACTTGTACTTGATTTAAACAAAAAATACTTGTAAAAATTAGAACCATAAGCCCTTGTCTTCTAAAGCGTAGCATTATTGTTAAATATATATTATTATTTAAGCAACATGTTAGTCGAACTTGATACCCTGTATTTGGTTGGCAAAATGATCGCCACTCGCCACCCCCCCCCCCCCCCCCCCTCCTCCTCAGCGCACACGACAACCTCTTCTGCATGCACTAAAGTGTTATTTAATTATGGTCTTTTTGATGTTGTTTGCATTGTTCGGGCTGTTCTGAATGACACACGAGACGCCCTGAAGAGTGCACAGCCAACCGAAATGAAATATGCACTCATCAGCACATTAGCTGAGAAAGAAGAGAGAGTGAGAAAGAGAGCCAAGAAGAGAGAGAACGAGAGAGAGAGAGAGAGAGAGAGCCAGTCAACATAGTACTGAGAGGCAATCTACCGTGACAGCTCATGAAGGTTAAATTCTTGCAAAATGTTTGCGTTCTTTTGCCCCCAGCCGCCGAGTATTCATTCAGCACTCATTCAAGTATTCATGCATATTCGCAATAATTATTTGGAGCGTGTTACATTTTTCTAGAAATTAATTTTATTTTATTTTATTTTTCTGTACACTTCAAGCCATGAAATATTGTCACGCACAAACTGAAAAGCTGCACGGATCGAGGATTGCATTGCATGTCGAATGGGGGGGCTGTATGGGGCGTGGGGCGTCTGGCAGGGGGCGTGGCTGTGCCAGGTAGTGGGGCTAAATCAGTTGGTCATTCATCGCCTGCATAAATACGATTCTAATGAGCGCTGCGTGGCGCTTTATGCTGCACTCATTAGGCGGAGCCCCAAGCGAGCAATCCCAGACCCAACTCCACGTCCCCCTTCCGCCACGGTGTCGGTGACAGTCGCCTGCCGTTTAATTTATGACTTGATTTGCAGAGTAGATTTTATTGCAATTTCAAGTGTTGCCCAGAGCTAATGTCGTCTTCGTCTTCGTCTGCATCTGCGTCTTCCTAATTAATTACAGGCAACTGATAAAAATATACATACGCCCCGAAGTGAAGCCCATACAAAGCAGCTCATTCACATGCCCATTGCCATTCCAATTTCCATTCCCAGTTTGAATATAGCTTTCCCTCCCCCTCCCTCCCTCCCTCCCTCCCCTCCTTTGAACTTCCCAGATAGTGGCAGGAAACAGTATCCGAGTGGCGCACACTAATTGCTTCTGGTTTAATAGAGCTCAACACTTGTTCATGGGCTGCCCGAATGACTCTTGAATAACTCAAGTGGCAAAATGAATGACGCCGTCGTAAATATATGAAATTCTTATCGACAATTTGATTTCACATTGAATCATTGCAACAGCGCTCAAAGTTCCACTAAAAGTTGTGACTGTTTCTTATCAAATTTCAATGGATCAGCATGATGGACAGCTATAAACAAGATGTGATTAATGATTAATGCTATATACCTGAGTTATCAGCGGAGTTCATTAAACCGAAGCTTTACTGTGGCACATAAAAAACTAGCTGCTACTACTAGAGATAAAAACTGGGAAAAATGCCAGGGCAAAGATATTGACGTGGGTGAAAGATATATATTTTTCTTTAAATATGGCAAATATAAACATTGTATAAGACAGAAACGGAGAGGAAATGGAGGCGCAGGACGGGCTGCGGGGGGCGTCGGCGTTACATCACATTTCTGATGGGTCTTTGGCAAACGGTAAATGGAAAATGGTAAATGGTAAATGGCAAATGGCAAATGGAAATTGAAAATGGAAAATGGGTATTACGTATTGTGGCTAAGGCAGCGACAATGCGCAATGCGTATACGCAATGTGGGCAAAGAGGTGGGTAAGGGGAGGCGGGGGTCGGTCCGACTGACTGCTGGGCTGAAAATAGATCAAGCAGAAAAAAGAACTCGAGAAAGCAAAGAAAAGCGCAATTGCCGTCGCACAGCCAAGCGAATCGACAGAAAGAGTACAGTCAAAATAGAAGCAGACGAATCCATTTGAATATATATTCAAAATAATCAGACTGTCTGCAGCCGCACAAAAGATACAGATACATTTCAGGCTGACCTAGAGATACATTAATAACTCGCTTGGCGCCTATTTAGCTAATATATAAATATATATATTAGATAATATTCATATTACAAAAGCAAAATGCCAAAGAATTTATGGCCAGAAGAGAGAACGTGTACAATGAATGCATTTGGCAGAGACATTTCGTAAGTTGTCAGCGCGCGATATGTATCTGCCAGATATTGTATCTGTATCTGGCTAGAGAACCCGTGCAGAGCGCAAAAATTCAGAAAAAAAACCCATACAGTGAAAAATTCGGAAAAGAAATCCGCGCAGCCATTTCGAATATACTAAAAATAAACTCACCTTGAAAAGTTTCTAAAAATTTTTGTTGAATATATTTTATCTGATTTCTGCTGCTGCTGGCCGCAGATGTATCTGTATCTGAGCGTTGGCCAAAAACTGATGCGACGTACTAAATTTTCTAGTTCGTGTCCAGAAAATGTTTGTTGCTGCTTTTGTTGTTGTTGTTGTAGATGTAGATGTTGTTGTTTCTTGAACAATTCGAAACTGTTGGTTAATTGTTGTACACGAGATTTTGTTGTTGTTGTTGTTGTTTCGTAAGGGATTTGCTTATATACAAATTTATGTATATATATGTATATAGATATATATATATATATATATATATAATTTTGTTGCTGTCGGATATTCGATTTTTCGGTTTAACCTTCAGAAACCATGCACAGAAATTTTACACAAAATTTTATAAACACAACACTAGTAAGGCCCTAAAAAAGAAAGAGAGAGAGAGAGAGCGTATGTCAGAAAGAGAGGGTAGAATTTGATTAGAATATTTATTTGTTTATTGATAACACAGGCATTTATTGTATTGTTATTGATAATATTATCGTATTATTGCTGATGATGTCAGTTGCGCATTTTATTTTTCTACACTTTTGGAGTATATTTTATGGCTAGTATATATATAAAAATATTTTGATTGTATATGTCTGTGTTCTATATACACACTTTGGCTGATGAATTCGTTAATTGATTGATTTTTTCTTTATTATTAATTTATTTGCGATCTGTTCGAGGTGCGTTTTTTTTTTTGTTTGTGCTTTTCTTTTGGGGCGACGTTAACTAAGCGACGATTTTCTCTCAACTAAAGCAAAAACCGAAACCAAAACCGAAACCGAAACTTTTTGCTGTGTGAAATGTTTTTCGAACTAAAAATCTTTTCAAGCAAGTGGCAGCTGCGTCGCTGCCGCCGTCGGCGTCGACGTCGACGTCAACGCTGGCGTTCACGTCGCCGCTGCCTGCATTTTGGGGCCGCGCGAGTTTTCTTCTTTTTCTTTACTTTTTTTTTGTTGTTTTTTTGCTGAACTATATGGCCGCTATATATGTATGTAGTACTCGTATAGCGTGGCAGACGTTGCCAGCTACAGCCAAGCCCCGCCCAGCCCCGCCCCGCCTCGCGCCGCCACAGCGGCTTCTTGCCCCGCACCTGAGAGAACGATACAGAAAAGCTACAAAATCGGCGGCGGCTGCCAATGTCTGTCTGAGTTTTATTCTCAGTGTATTGTGTACAATATATATATCTAGAGATATATATTTAAGTATGTATATATGTGTCTGTGTATTTTGTTATTTTGCTAATTGCTTGTATTTTGTTTTCATTATTGGGCAGCAGCAAAAGTCTGTTTGATGTTTCGAATGGATTTCAGGTGCTTTCGCATTTGAATTTTCAGCATGCGCAAAATCTACAAAATGTGAACAAATGATAAGCTATATATATATATATGCGGATCATAGCATTCCAGGCGAAGAATTCTTTTAGATTATCTTTTAGACAAGCGCAAATATTGTGTTAAGTGCAAAACAAAAAACATATGACATCATATCGTCAGAGAGTTCTGTTTCCAGCAGCTGCCTTAATTAAATCTTTGGTAATCGCTGAAGAGGTCGCATCATTTGTGAGGGTGGGGGGAACTACATTTCAAATCAGTTTAAGCACTCGAGCCAGTTTATTTGGCAGGCATTTCTCGTATGAAATTCAATTTAAATACAATATAACAATCATAATTCCGGCACAATATCAAATGTTGCCCAGGCAACTTAAAAAATAATTCATTTCATGCTGCCACAAAAAATGAATATTTATATTATGCTTTATATTTGTGGCACAAAAAGCTCTAGCGATTTAAGCAACAACGAAATGCAAATGCAAAAAGAAAATAAATAAATAAACAAATACGGCAAATAGTTTAATAAACTCAGTTGCGTTGGGCCAGAAAAAACGATTTCAGCTTTTTAATTAAATCATGTTTTGCACACTGTGAAAACAATAACTAAAAAGTCAAAAACAAGTAGGGCTGAGGTGGGGCGTGCTCGACTAGGGAGATACCCTGCCATTACAAACATTCTAACTATCTACACACACACGCATACACAAACTCACACACATGCAACTGTGCTTCTTCTTTCGTTTATCCCTCACTATATATTTAAGAAATGCCTTCTACTGATTTACTCGGCTGTTTATAGTCCGATCTTTATGAAGCTTTCAGCTATCAAATGTGCCAAAGCGCAAGGCCTTATCTATAAGCATGAGTTGCTTTCAATTTTGGCTGGAAACTGGAAGAGGTTTTCAAAAAATGATATATTCTCAATTTATATATTCTATAAGAGAGCCTATATACCAAGTTTGGTGTATCTGGCGCTTAAAATCCTCGAGTTATGCTTAAATAACCAAACCCCAAAATCAATAATAATAGGTTTTTTTGTAGTAACAATAGAGTATATCTGAAGTCTCTAGCCTTCACATATGCCGACATGGCTCGCTTAAGTTGTCCTGCTGCCTGTCACATGCATATGCACACAACCAATATACCCCTTGTGCACAAAAAGACAACAAATCGCGGCGTAATTCAATCAAATAACAAAAATATTTGTACCAAAAATAAAGTAAGTACTAGAAGCAGCGCAATATTACATGCGATAAATCAATAATACTATCATATGAAATGGAATTGTTTTTGGTTTTGTTTTTGTCTTTTGGCTGCAGATCTGAAAACTTTACGTGTATAATTAAAAGTTCCAAATGCTTGCAGATAAGCAGCTAATTAAACTGTCTCGTTTTACGGTTTGGCGAGAGATGACAACAGTTAAACAATTTAATATAATTTCTGTTTCTCTTTTTATCTTTGAGTTTAACAGCTTTTTTTGTGGCCGCTTTGGCACTTTTGCTTTCTTTTTTTTTTTTGTGCAAATTTTGCGCTGTTTTCTTTAGTTACGTCAAAATCGCACACATCAATTATTATGAAGTTTTATTTAATTTTGGTTTTTCTGATATTTGCAAGCCGTGTGAGTCAACAAAAACAGGCTGCGGCCTAAGCTGAGGCCGCGCGAGATCTTTATGAATCACGCAGCGGCTCGCATTTGCTGCCAATGAAGCCGGTTTCATTGCGATCCAAAAGTGTTGTTGAAGTGTTTTTTAATAAATGTTTATGAAAATTTAAAAGTAGCACACACACACACACACACGCACACATGCACAGAGCCGCACTCACAGTTTGGTTTTTGAAAAGGTTCTGAAATTAAAGTACGTGAAATATTTGAAAAGCCGCTGCCAACTCGAAAGACAACCGCGCGCGATCGTTGCTTTTAAACGAATGGCAAAGGCGAAGGCGAAGGCAACAGATCTCAGCGTTAAAGTCACTGCCAGGCAGAGAAACACACACACACACACACACACAGCAGAGAGCAGCAGAGCAGAGCAGCAGCTCTTGCGAGAGCCACAAATCAACAGGTAAACGAAAGGTGAAAATGCACGCGCAAAGAGAGAGTAGGTGTGCATGTGTGTTGTGCCTGTGTATACGTGTGTGTGTGTGTTGGCTGATAAGATAAAAATGCAAACACAAAACGCGCCAAACACAAATTCTAAACAACTAAATTTTTTTTTTGCGCATGTTTTTATTTTGTGTCTAAATTTTTGTAATATTTCATAAAAGTGTAAGCCTCACGTCTCTGGCTCAATATTGTCTATACATTTTTTGTTATTTTTGCCATTTCGTTTTGGTTTATTTTATTTGTTGATTCGTTTGTGTTTTTGCGACTTGGCCAGACTTGGGGGCTGCGCTTGTTTTGCATTTGTTGTTGTTGTTGTTGCTTTTGTTGTTGCTGCTCCACATAAACAATAAAAGTTATAGGCATGTATATGCATATATATCTGGGAATTGTTGCTTGCCGCAACGCCAGATATTGTGTGGTACATGGCATATAATTCTATATTTAGGTTGCATGCCACACAGCGGCAGCAGAGGCAGCACGCAAAAACTGGTTACTCCAGTTTCCCTGATAATCTGGGTGACGGCTACAACAACAACAACGACAACAACAACAACAACAACAACAAGAGCAGCGACAGCAACAGCAACAGGCGTCTCTCTGATTCTTGCTGGAACTTGGGCTGATTTTCCTTTTTAGCGCCCCAAAAAAAAAAAAGCGAAAAAAAAGCAGGCGAAAAAGAAGCAGCTACAAAAATTGCAGCCAAAACTCAGACAGAAACTGCGCAGTTGCATAAACCGGTTGCCTGTTGCCTCACCTGCCCCTGCCTGCAGTCTCTGCCCCTGCCCGTACCTAAACCTAAACCTTTGCCCAACCCACTTGCTGCCCCCCTTCTTTTTTTTTATCGCTGCTGCCTGTTGACCAGCACTTGAAAGTTGTCACGCCCCTCCAGGCAACCGTCCCGCGATCCTCACTTCATTGAGAAACGAAAAGTGGCGCGTCTCAGACCCAGATCCAGTCGCGAGAATCGAGCTAATGGCAACGCGGTAAACGGGCTAACGGCCTGTAAATCATTTAGCAGCTATTTTGTTTGGCTTTGTGTCCGTCCTGTGTTCCGAGCGTGGCTAAAAAGGAAAACGACCCACAAATATCTCAAAAATGTCACGCATGCGTCGTCCCTGCTGTTCTTGTTGTTCGCATGCGCGTAATTGCAACCTGCCAGCAGCACAGCCAGCCCCCCGCACTGCAACAATTGTCGGCTCGCTCTTGTTTTTCAATTAAATAACATAAGAAAAAGCAAACACGGCAAACAGGAAGCAATTAACAAGTGTTGCAAAGCGCAACAAAACAAAAGAATTAAATCAACTTTAGCTTAAGAAATTAAGTTTTTTTACATAATTATTTGAAATTGTTTTCCAGCACATTTTCAAAGTTGGCGCCAAATTGGGTAACAAACTGCGGCAGAAATAAAACATAGATGGCGCCAGATAGCAATGACACACTGCACATCTAGCTGGCTTAGCTGTGTTTTACACCCGCTCTACTAGTTAGCCAAGGTTTACACCTTACAAGCGGTGCTGCAAGCAGTGCTGGCTTTTCAGCAATAAACACAATATTATGCCATGCATAACATCGGCCACAGTTTGAAGTGCGTTGCAAATTATTGTTTTTGTGGTAAATTGCGTTAATACAGGACACACTCGCTTAGGCGAACAAACACAGTTTCGTTTTTACGTATGTTGCTCAGAAAAATTTTTGTGAAAATATAACAAAAATAGGAAAAAAACAGGAAAATCTTGGATTTTAAATAAACAAATTTCATTGAACGAAAACTGGGTTCATAAAGGATAATCCGAGTTGTTTTTCTTTATGCATCTTGTATATTATATGATTCACTATGTCCCATATCCTTTTCTACTTTTGCCTACTGTGTCATAAAGTTATATAGACAGAATCGATAAGTGATATGTTGCATGGAAAGTTGTATCCTTACGTCTACAAGGGTTATTTAATCTTCGGATAGCCTTTTACTTTATTTAACCTTAACCAGAAATAGTTTATATACACCAAAGAGAGAGCTGCCTAAGGCTGCTGTTTGTTTTGCAGTGCTATCACTGTAAGGATAAGTAAGAAGTGGATTTTTGGGTCAACCCGGATGGATAAATTCAATGCCATTTAAGGCTAAAGCCCATTGGCAACGGTTATATCTATTAAATTTGGCTAGCACTTTGATTTCCTCGCATTAAACAGAAGTCGAGTCACGTCCGCGATTTGCCAGTTTTGGACAGCTGACAACAAGCGGCAACAAATGGATTTGGAAATTTAAACATATTTTTTGCTTTTAGCTAAAAACTACTTTGATAGGGGCCGCAATTAAGCTGAAGCCGAAGCTGAAGCCAAAGCCAAAGCTTGTGATCTTGTGCGATATATTTGAAATGCATTAATGCGTTTTTCGCTACGGATTTGGACGCTGGTTAGGCACATTATTAATGTAGCTCACGATCACATGCCTAGAGCCGCAAATGGTGAGCAAACGGACAACGGCAAACAAGACTTGTTTCTCACCTGACGCGGTGTCAATTGAATTGAGTGATTACCCCTGATCAGGAGTTGAAGTAGATCGGGAGAGGGATGAGGGGAGGAAGAGCGAGAGGGAAGAGAAGTAAGTGTAAGTGTAGGTGTCTCTGTCTCCCTCTCTCTCTCGCTCTCATCTCTCTTTGAGCTGGGCGGGGCAACGGGGACGTTTGATTTTGGTAAGCTTCATTAAAACTTGTTTACATTTGTTGTGACGTTTGTTTTTGATACCCTGTAACTAATACAAATGGTTATAATAGGGTATATGTCAGTCGAGAAATCGTCGAGTCCATAAAGAATATGTTTTGGAAAGAGAAATATACCCAAGTTTCGTATCTTAATCTGTTTCAAATGATCGATAACATGAAGAATGTCATCTCAACCGATAAATATCTATGTCCTGTTATTACATATAGTTTTATATGAATATGCCTTGAAATATACCATAACTTCGTTTTTAAATTGACTTAAAAATATCGATAACTAATCAAATTTTATCTCAACCGATAAATATCGATTTGTAGCCTTTGCTTTTGTAATCATTTATGGCATGATATGAATATGCTTTAAATTAAATCTGTTACAAATGATCAACAACTCATCCAAATTTGTGTGAACCGATAATTATCAATTGCCAGCCCATGCTTTTATTATTCTTTAAGGCAACAGGTCATCTGGCAGTCGAGCACACTCGACTCGCGACACTCTTGTTGTTATTTGTTGATTTGTCCGTTTACTCAATTGCAATTTGATCGTCAATTATTTTACCTTGCCTGCCACATTTATAGGTTGTTTTTATTGCATTTCAATTGGTCTCGGATTTCAGTTGAACACTAATTAAAAATTCGCAACGTGGCATTTGCTTAAACGCCTTTTAGGCCTGGCCCAAAGACGCTTTTGGTAACACGCAAACACGTGCATTAATTAATTTGTCAGGTTAATTCATTCGACTCACCCAAAGGGGCTACAACTGGGGTCAGAAATGGTATCAATTGTACACGATGCGTATATGACATTTAAGAGCGCTCTAGTTGGGAGTAGCCGACTAGGGAGATACACTGTATCCACTTACAAGCATTCTAGATTTCTTCTATAAAAGATCTGTGAATATGAGTCCAAACAGATCGGATGGAATTTCTTAACGTGCTACTTCATATTATTAGCTAACTACGATGAAAATTTCAGCCTTCTAGCTCTTACGATATGGGCTTCGGATTGATCACCAATCAGTCAGTTATATATATAGAGATAAAATTCTATCACAGATGTACAAAAATATATACACATAATGGATGCTGCCTTTTACTGACATTTACCACAGGAACATGAATACCTTTGAAAACATGTTGACTGGTTTCTGCGTACGTATAATGTCCACCCCAAGGCTCAGTTATTTGGAAGAGGTGGCAACCCCAAGCAATTGGTGAGCCATGGCAACCGCCGGCTGCCACAACAAACCCAGTTCGTGCCAACTTCCAGGGAAGAGCTTTTTTTATTTGTAAATATTTTCCTCCCCCACAGCAGCCGAAAAGCAGGGAAAGGTCAACTTCATGTACGAAGCAGGCAGCGAGCAGATCAACTGCAACGGAGCACTCATCGAGCTGCCCTCGCTGGAGGTGGTAAAGCCAGGTGGGTTAGAGTTGAGTTTTGTTTAGTTTAGCTCTGACTTCTGCTCTGGCTGCAACAATTAGCGCCCAAAATGCCAGCAGATGCCAACATCGACTGGCTGCTTCACATCTATTTCACACGCCGCCAATTCGAGCATTGTCGCCGGCTCATCGCACGTGAACTGAATCGACATTTGAATGCGGAATATCTGTACTTTGTGCAGGTGAGTGTGCGCTGCGGTGCGGCGCATTATTTCTAATTGATTGAGCTCTGATTCCTGGCGCAGGGTTTAATTGAGCGCGAAGATGGCAATAACATTGAGGCGCTGCGCAACCTACAAAAGGCCGCCGAGCTCAACACGCGCAACATCGAAACGTACAAGGAAATCGGACGCACACTGTATGTCCAATTGTGGTTATCGATTTTTCTGTCCATAAAGTAAGTACCCCCCAATCCCCTCTGTCAGCTACAGCATGGGCCGTTTTGGTCAGGCGCTGAGCGTGTTCCGCGAGGCTGAGCAGCAGAGTCCACGCAAGGATCACGAGATCTATCACTATCTGGGCGAGCTGCTCTATCGCTCGGCGGCCACACAGCCCCAGCTGGAGCTCGCCCGCCAGCAGCAGCACGAGGCCAGGGGCTACTTTGAGCTGGCCGTGCAGGCGGGCAAGAAACTGGAGAGCTATGTCCGCCTGGCCGAGCTCTATCGCAAGGACAAGGACTACCAGAAGGCCATCGATGTGCTCGAGACCTGCTTGCAGTCAGTATAAATGAAAGAAATTTGCATGATTTCATGATTTCTTGATTTTTCTCCGTTAATGTTGAATGCCTGAAGTGGATTCTCTCAAATTTGTTATCTGTAAACTTTTCAAACTTGCCTCGCTCTTAACCCCTTGCAGCCTGACGCCCGAGAATGCCGATGTGCTGACTGAAATCAGCGTGTTGTACTTGAAAATCAATGAAACTCAAAAGGCATTCGATCGTTTGGCGGAAATCGTCAACATTGAGCGGAACTGTGCGCCGAAAGGTCTGCTCGCCCTGGGCGCCATTTTGCAGGTGAGTGGGCGTACGTAGCTAGAGTTGGGGCAGAGTGAAAATATCTGGGGGTTTGGGTTTTTGAATTGACAGTCGCGCAACGATGTCGATGCCGCCTTAAGCAAATACAGCCAAATCGCAGACACTGAGCCGGAAATTGCCGAACTCTGGAACAATATTGGCCTTTGCTTTTTCAAGAAGCAAAAGTTCATCGCGGTGAGCAACTTGTTGTTGTTGTTGCTGTTGCTGTTAGCCAAGTAACACGGTATTGGGTATTCTGTTAATTATTTTCATAATCGTTTGCAGGCGGTTTCATCGCTACGCAAATCAGTTTGGATATCGCCCCTCAACTACAATGCGCTCTACAATCTGAGTCTCATTTATATTGCCTGTAAGTAAAGTCCACACATACACACATACATACATAGATACAGACTTACACACACAGTAAATAGCATATAGAAGTTAATATTAGCGTCCTCCAATGTTCTGTTTTCCCAATCTCTATGGCTATTCAACAATGAGGGAAGCGGGTTCGAACCCTAATGAAATACCTAATATCTGGCTAAAGTAAAATAAAGTAAAATTAATATAATTGATAATATAAATGATTACTGCCAGTTGTGCACCCCAAAAGTCTTTCCCTTCTTCTCTTTATTACGTGTAATTTTAAAGCCAACCTCTGCCGGACCTATGCCGCCAAAAAGCACTTGTCCCGCGACGGAACAATAATAAAAGTCCATGTCTACAGCTGGCGGAAAGAGTGCATAATAAAAAAGAATCATCAAGAGAATGGGCGCTGGGGCAGGCTTTTCATAAAATTGTTGAAAACAAAAATACGCAAAGAACAAAAAAAAAAACAAAAAAATGGGCAGGTTTTAAGAATTCACGGAGCCGTCTAGGTCTATAGAATTCTTTGTTGTTATTGCTAAGCATTATGTGTTGTTATTGTTTTCTATTTACCACTTAATGTTTATCCAACGACCCGACCTTCTGACCGTGAAACAGCGGAGCAATATGCGAGCGCCTTTCACACGCTCGCCGCGGCCATAAACCTGCGCAAGGACAACGCCGAGTGCTACATGCTGCTGGGCCGTAAGTGTTGCCCCGCGTATGCCATGTGGCCTAATTCGAATATCCTGATCCCCTCTAGTGTGCTTACGCAAACTGGAGGACTTGGAGAACGCTTTTGTGGCGCTCGAGCGTGCCTGCAGTCTGGCCAGTGGACAACAACAGGGTGGTCAGCGGCATCCTTTGGTGTTCCTCAACTTTGCGCTCTTCTGCTACGAGACCGGACGCCTGGCCCTGGCCGCCGAGCACTACAACCGTTTCATGAGTCACGCCCAGGATCTGCTGCTGCCCACTGAAGTAAGTCGAGTAGTCTATCAACGCGCCCAATGGCTCCTGGCCGTGCCAACCGATTAGCCTAAGCCAGCCAGCATAACAAAAAAAAAGAAAAAAAAGAAGGGAAGCCACAAATAGCTGAACAATCAAACTACCCTCAACTGCCGCATTTTTGTAGCTTTTCAATGTGCAAATTGAAATTCAGCAAAATTTGATTAAATTTAACCAAATGAAAGCCCGAAAATGCAGCAAATCGATGGAGAACTTTTAATTGGAATACAAATTCGGTAGTCAAGGCAAAAACGTGTGTGAGTGCATGTGTTTGTCGAAATAAGGATTATAGGGTATATTCGAGTCGAGCAACCTGAACTAGTTTCTCTTCTCTTTGGCAGTTCAAATTTCAGGCCACCAAATTGAAGTCCCTGCTGCGCATCTCAACGCACGGCCAGGGTATACTGGACGATGGCGAGGACTCGGTGCGAGCGGAGGATGCGTCTGGCAAGGAGGAGGAACTGCCCCTGGAGGTGAATGCCGTGGTCAGCGAGAACTGAAATGCGAGAACTGAGCAGAATAAACAACAATACCCATAAAAGCTAATTAACTCACATCGAACATTTATTGGAACTTGTTCAAACTCAATTAAAAATCAGTTTTGGCTCGCGCGGCGTATAAACAAATTGAAGAAGCCAATAAATATGCATTAGCTGCGCACCTTAAATACTATAATTTACTTAAATTTAAATATATACTTTATATATTAATAATAATAATAATAATAATGCATTATTTATACTGCTTAGCACTAAATAGAAAAGTTCAAATGGACAAGCGAACAATTGAGATCAGGGGCTCACTGGCTCAAAGTTCGCTTGACGCAAATTCTTTTTCGTATTTTAAATTAATGTTTTTTTTTTTTAATAATTTAATTTAATTTGTTTTGTTTTTTCTCATATATATTTCAAGTGTGCATAAAAATTGGTATTCAACTCCTAATTAGTTAATTAATGTTAATAAACGCTGGCGTTCCTCGCATATCTCAGATGACATATTAATCGTAAATAGATCAGTTTACATTTAAATAAATTCATATACTCTATATATATAATATATTTATATATATATATTCGTATAGTATATGTTCGGTAAGCCTAAGGAACAGTTACAAAGTAAATTCTAATTCATAAACCACTGCAAAATTCATTTGAAATCTCTCGTTTTATGTGTCTGCTAAATGGAAATGGCACTTAATACCCTACAAAAATGTCGGCTCAACTGCATAGAGGTCACAGTTTGGTATACCCTTACCCGGCACACACAGTTTCATCAGTTCAACTTTTTGAAAGTTTACTCTCTTTTTTTAGAAATTCAAGAGGCATCTCTTTGAGCTGCCCACACACCACTTCAAAGTTCTTCTTTCACCCATCTTCCTAGTCAGCCCCGAAGCACGTCTCAGCCTCCGTCCGAGTCGTTATCGGACGCCTTCGACGCCTTGGCATTCGCTTCTAGACACAGGTGGTGGTCACCCGGGTGAGGCGTGTCATCTCGCTGCTGCCGAAGTGCCGCTTGAAGAACAGCGATCTGAAGGTGGTGCGAAACTGTTTAGACATGAGGCCATAAAGCACAAAGCCCACAGCCGCATTTATTAGCGCCAGCAGATCCATCAGCTCCCCGAAAGGCGGATAGCAATGGGCAAAGAAGCACTTCTCCAGCACGCCCGACAGCAAACCGAGCAGACCCTGCGGAAATTCCGTGACCAGGAATAGTATCAGAACGGCCACCAGCAGCAGAGTGGTGCGATCGTTGCGTCGATCACAGCGAGGCGGTCTGCAGGGTCAGAAGGCACATGTGCAAATCAGATAAAATCACGCAAGAAACAATGAAATTTATTCCAACAGATGAACGAAAGACGATAAGAAACAGAAGAATTTGTGAAAAGAAACAAAGGAATGAAACAATGGATTAAGTGACACAAATTCACTGAAATTTATTCACAGTGATGATGATGAAACAGAACAAAGGAGTATTAATGGTAATCAAATGAAATGTTTTCCAAAAGATGAACGAAAGTCGATAGAAAACGAAAAAAATAGTGAAAGGGAACAATCATATGAAACAATGGATTAAGTGCTAAAAATCAATTGAAAATTAGTCGAATGAAACAATGGAATAAAACTCTAGAATGAAACTATGGAAAACGATGAAAATTTAGTCCAAAAGATGATAAATCCCCGATAATGAAACGGAAGAAACAATGAGCAAAGAATAATAAAGTGGAACAATGGAATGGAACAAAATCAATTTGAATTTATAGCAAACGATGAATTAAGACCTAAAACAGACATTTTCAAATGAAATTAATATCAAAAGATTAAATAAACAAAAACATGAACAAGAAGATGGCCATGAATAAGATAAAAGATTATGTAAAACAATACATGCTATGACATTTATCCCAAGAGATGAAACAACCTAGAAATATGAACCAAGAACTGGCTAAAAAAGTTCACAAAAGGATGAAATTTTTTTTAAATGGTGCTAATGATATATAAGAAGTAAATTCCCAAAACTTGCTATGGAAATCATATGAAAGATGGTGTACTTAAAAAACAACATTTGGGATGATAAAATAAAAAAGTTCAACCCAAAAGATGAAACAAACAGTTCAGAAAACCAATGAAATGTCATTTAAATGATGAATATGATAAAGTGATATATGAAATTTGGGATAATTAAGAGTTGCACTTACCGCCTGGACTTGGTCTCGTTCAGATTTAGCTGGATGGCGTACTTGGTGGGATTGTCGTAGTCCTTGAGCTTGAGGCGACGCCGTGAGGCCTCGCACAGGACATGCATTAGCACAAGGCTAATGACAGTAAGAATGCAACAGGGCAGCAGCTTGATGATCACGGAATGTATCCAAAAGTTGAATCTAGGGAGCAGAGAGAGAGAAAATTGTACAGGGTATCAGCTAGGGCAGTCAGCCTGGCCAGCTTACCTGAACAGCATGGAATCGACGTCAAAGTACACGTGGTACATGACTTCATGCTCTCTGGTATCCACCTCGAGAGTCTCGCGCACCTTGAACACAAAGTATGTGGGCAGGCAGACAATGGGCGAGATGATGAAGGGAAAGAGGATCGCCTCTCTGGAATGTGCGAGCAGAAAATTGGCACAGCTGCCGTTCGGATGTCTGTGGAAATGGAAATATGGAAATAGTTTGCTATAAAACAAAAACAGAGAGAGAGAGAGAGATAGAAAATGAAGCCACATTGCCGCCGTGTTATTCAGTTAGCAAGAGCAATAAGTGTCCAGGGGTTCAAAGGTTGTCAGCGTCATGCGGCACTCACCTGATTGCCACATATCGCCAGACAGCCAGCGTCACGGTCAAACCAATCGAGATTGTGTGCAGGATCTGAGTAAAGTGCATATGGACCAGCAAATAGACAGCCCAAGCGTAGCTCAAGTCCTTTTCGCCTGCAGGACAATTTTGCATTTATTAATTTATGCATATATGTATGTGTTAAAGTTGTAGCAAATTCTCACCTGGCTTCATATAGATGTACTGATATGTCGTATAGGGTATATACTCCAGCATGACAAACATATCCGCCACCGCCAGCCATTTCAATATGTTGTTAATGGGCGCCTTGGCCATTTCCCTTCTGGTCAGCACCATTATATTTAATATATTGGCAATTGTGCCAAATATGCAAATCTGTAAGGTTCCAAGGGATAACGAAAATACAAATGGAAAATAAGTAAGTGAAATGCTAAAGTTCAAAATGCACGACTACAATATACCCTGGTCCTAGCTCCGCTTAATTAATCAAATATAATGTTCTTCTTGTTCTTAAGACACTTATATGGACAATTCATTTTTAAATAACATCCATGTTTATTATTCGAATGTTAAATACTCTTGGTGCTTACAGGTAATAGGCAAATGTGTTAAGATATCAATAATCACGAATGTATCTTTTCCCAATTAAAAGAGGCAAAGGGTATCGAAAATATGAAATATTTCCCATCCCATCCATAGACGAGAACTTTTTTTTTGGTTTGCCTACCTCTTATAATCCCCGAAAACGATACTACAACTCGATAGTTATCGGTTTTGCAGAAAACAGAGTTGTGCAGATGGAGTTAAAGAGAATATAGACAAACTTATGTTGTGTTTAACACTGTCTCTAGCTCTTATAATCTTTCTAAGATCGAAATCTTTATACAGGTTATGATAGAATGCAGGACTTAAAATCGATATTTATCGAACTTGTAGAAAAATAGACAAAATTCTTTTGCATTTGACACAGTCTCTAGTTCGAGCCTTTATAGTTTCTAAGATTAACGTCAGAAACATCAGTATAAATCTGACAGAGAAGTCTATACCAATATAATGCCGAGGATAAATTCAAGAAATTTAGTCTTAAAATCGATTATAATCGGAAAAACAGAAAATAAAGTGGTCGAGGTAAAATTATAGAGAGAATAGATTAACCTTAAATATATAAGATCCACGAGTTTATACAGACAGACAGATTTATTGATCGATATTAATCATTTTTGCCAAAAATTGGGTGGAATTATCGAGAAAATAGATAAACATCTTAAGATCTGGCTCTTACTGTTTAAGTCGATTTTCTACAGTGTCTTGGTTAAGAATATGCTATTTGGTGTTGCAGATGACTTTTTCTGGTTGTTACATATTTGTGCACAATTGTAATATACCCTCTTTCAAAAATTCAAGCAGCGCAGGATATAATAAAAAATAACAATAAACAAATGCCAAAACACAACAAAGCTCTGCTGAGCTGAGCTGAGCTGAGCAGACTGAAAGCGCTAAGCTGCTGGAAGCCTCACACCACACAAACACAACACACACAAACACAACACACACACACACACACACACGTGGTCCCTTGCAAGCAAAAACCCTATCAGGTCAGTTTGGTCAATGTTTTATTCATGTACACAATTCGACCGCATATGAGACTTTTTGCTCTCCCATTATTAGCATGGAAGCTAGAAGCCCTTTTGTCATACATATACATATACATACTCGACCGAAAATGTTACAAAAGTACGTTATTTACCAGCTCTTGCACCACATTGCTTAGAATTTACCTTTGTTGGAACTAATTGAAAATGTAATGCACAACATTGTTCTGTGACTTGACCAGAAAAGAGCAGGAAAAATACATTTTCTAATATAAATTTGCGTACGCTTTTGTGCATAAATAATTAAATTTTGTGTTTTATATTTTGCCGCATTTAATGCCGTTTGAAGGACTTAAAGGAAACAAATTGGTCAAACCTTTTACAGCTTATTTAATGCTGTTAATACTGTGGGACTTTTGTTTTGGCCAACATCTTATGAATTATGTAAACACACAAATTCATTTAATCTATTTGCGCTGGCCACAAAAAAGGTTATTTCCAAAACTTAACGTTCTGCGTGGGGGGCGGGGCTTGTGGGAAGCCCCCGCACAGACAAACTCATCAGCGGACAAAAGAAAAGCCCTTTCACTTTCGCTTTCCCGCTTCGCAATCCAAAGGGTTTACATTCCTTGACATTGTGACAAGGCTTTCATTTATTTCCACTGAATGTGAAAAATGTCTTGGCGGGCGACACGGCGACATCAAGATAATTAGCACCGGGGCTGTCGCAGTTGCCCAAACAAAAAAAAAAAAACGTTGCTAATGAGCGCGCGTGCCCTGGCAACCCCAGTTATCCCTGCAGGACTCACCAAAAGCGAGACATAGCCATGGATGCCATTGTACGCACGCAGCCAGTTGTAGATTTCACCTTGGCAATAGCCCTGGCATTCGTCCTGCTGCGAGTGATTCTTCTTCTGGAAATCGAAGAGCAGCTTCACAAAGTCCTGTATGTCGCTGCTCGTGATCTCCAGATCCTTGAGCAGCGTCTCGTTCAGCGCCACATGTGGTTCCCTATGCCGCTGAGCCATGTTTGTCTCCTGCATGTTTTCCAATCAAAATCTTTCGCTGTGTTTGGAATATGTCTCCGCTTTAAATCATGCTGACCACCGCTGAAATACAAGAAAAGAACTTTAGTAAATCAATTGACTGGCTTACTTTCGAAGAGCTATTCGTGCTTAGCCCCAAAGTATCTTAATTAAGCTAATAAGGTGTGCATTTCTCAGATACATTATTCCAAATAAACAACAAATCATTGTATAACAAAGAAAAAAGCTGGCCACAAGGGACACAATTATCGCGTAGAGTATTCAGGCCCAAATCAAACACGTTGTCACAAAAAAAAAACAAATAACTGTTAAGTGTGCACGACTAGGCGCTACCCTATACCCAACATATTTACTTTTACAAGTATTTATATACATTGATTTTTTTATATTTTTTCTTCAAATCTTCAAGTCTATCTTAAGGACTGACGAGCATGAACATGAATAAACATACTTGATAGGGTTTAAGATGCCTTCTTCAGAATGTTACATAAACTTACACCGAACCATTATACTCATTTTTATTGTTTGTGTGCAGGGTATATAAAAAGCATCTAGCATATAGAGGGATACGAGTATCTGTATCTGTGTATCTGTGTATCTGTGTATCTGTGTATCTGTGTATCTGTGTATCTGTGTATCTGTGTATCTGTGTATCTGTGTATCTGTGTATCTGTGTATCTGTGTATCTGTGTATCTGTGTATCTGTGTATCTGTGTATCTGTGTATCTGTGTATCTGTGTATCTGTGTATCTGTGTATCTGTGTATCTGTGTATCTGTGTATCTGTGTATCTGTGTATCTGTGTATCTGTGTATCTGTGTATCTGTGTATCTGTGTATCTGTGTATCTGTGTATCTGTGTATCTGTGTATCTGTGTATCTGTGTATCTGTATCTGTATCTGTATCTGTATCTGTATCTGTATCTGTATCTGTATCTGTATCTGTATCTGTATCTGTGTCTGTATCTGTAACTGTATCTGTCTCTCTATCTGTATCTGTATCTGTGTCTGTGTCTGTGTCTGTATCTGTATCTGTATGTTTATCTGTATCTGTATCTGTATATGCATATTTATATTTATCTGTGAATGTTTCTGTATATATGCCGCTCTATTTGCATTCACAACTGGGAAAACTAATACATGACAGTTATAAAGGCAAAGCCCATAGTGAAACGAGAATCCCAGAGAGACATAAAGGGCTTAACCAGAGAAGAAAAAAGCCTGCATTTCATTAACAAGTGACAGGTGCTGCCCCTTTGTGAGCAAGGCAGATGCCTTTTTTGTAAATTGTGCAATTGTCAAGCGGGCTGTAAACTCTGCTCTTTATTTCCAAAAGCAGGCCATATCAATTTTACAAATGTCAAACCACATTGAAGGCAACATCAACAGCAGCAGCAGCAGCAGCCGTCTGGCTAAACTGGCCAACATAATTCAAACGATAATTGATCGAAAATTTAATGTGGCAAATGAAAATTAGAGACCATGAGAAAACACCGAAGCTTAAATATGCTTGCAGTCAAATAAATTAGATTGCTCTCACGTCTGAGAGTCCAGCCCGATGCGAAATGTCTGTCAGCAAATGTGTCTACACACCGACTGACGTAGTTGAAGAGACCCGCGGCTAGCGTATAATTAAACGGAGCACACCTGTCACAGTGCAATTGCGAGTAGCTGGGCGTAGCAGTTAATTGGCTAACGATATAGATACAACATACAACTTTTGTATATGTATATATATATGTATGTATATGTTTGCATCTGTGTTTCTTTTGGGGCCGATAAACATATTTGCGACATCGTAAATCAGTCAAGTTTGTGAGTTGGCAAATCAAAGTCTCGCCCCAATGTTCAACATGTCAACGAAGGTGTTGCATTTGGCTAATGGGTTCGAGTCCGAGTCCAGCGCTCCAGCTCCAGCTACAGCTCTGGCTTCAGCCTCACATCAAATCCTGTTCGCCGTTTCGCAATTGCAATTCAAATTTTTGTTTTTGAGTAACTGCCCTCGTCTGTGCGCCAATTGCCACACACACCACACACAACAGCCGCACAAACTGGGCCTGCTCCAACTTCAGAGTCTTTGCCAGTTGTCAATTATTTGATTTTGATGGATATGTCAGACGTCAATAACAACAACAACAACAAACGCTTTGGCGCAAAGAACATTTCAAAAATTGCGCATTTTATTGTCTTGCACAACAATTATTATATATGAAACAATGTTTGCAATATTTTGTTTTGCCCCAACGACCAAAATACGCATCTGTCTGTTCGTAAAATACAAATATAAACAAGAACGCATATTAAGGCCAACTGTTGCGTTTTTCTGCATTCAAGGCGAATTTATTTATGTATGGTAAATCAACTTTTGTAAATTTGAATGCAAGTTTGATTAACTATTGAAAACTAGCAATACCAGAAGGATCTATGCCGAGGTGTTATTAGACTAGATACTAGATATATACATGCATACGAAAAGGAATGGATATTTTAGCCCATAAATGAATGGTGGAGTTTCCCAAACCCACGTCTTAGCGTGCATATCCATCACATAAGGTAACTACAGTATGAATTTCAGTCTGTCAGAACAAAATGTTGTATATATAGGGATATATACTTAATCATCTTCGCGATCAGATTATAATACTTCCCTCTCACTTCTTAGTTCTCACGACTTCTTAGTTAACTAATATTTAACACAACGACATTTAAAATGATATAGTTTCTTTTCTGTATCATTCATTTTTTCATACTTCGAAAGCTTTTCTCTAAGTGTAAAGAAAACTAGAGTTGGGCTTCAGCTGTATAGACAAGTAATTATAGATGTTTTACGCATTAGAAGATTTATGCGACTAGTTCTGCAAGAAAAACAATAATTTATTCAATTTGCTTTTTTGTGTCCTCCAAAACAGAGTGCCAAGTTTTTGTGCTAAGCAGGTCGCGGGAAATTCCTGCGGGAAATGGAAAAGCAGGTGGCGTAACGCAACACGAGCACAGTGGGAGACACACACACACACGCACACACACAAGCAAATGGCGCCAACTGACAGCTTTAGATAAACGCCATACGGATTTTTTTGCTGCCATTAGCTGTTGTGCTGTTAATTAATGTTCCGTTACGCACACGCACACACACAGAGAAACCTACTGTGTGTGCTTTTTTATTGCAGCATAAACCATAACCAGAGTGTGTGTCCGCGCGTCTGGGACAGCCTTATCAAACAGAAGCTCGCATTTCCCTCCGCCCAGCAGCAACAGTTTCCCGCAGCGCCAATTGCCTTAACGATCCTTCAGCGCGCTCGCGGCCCATTAAAATGTAATTTCGCTCAAAATGAGAACTTAGACAACAGAGTTTATGTTCTACTAAACATCTATATATACGAATACTATCTCTTGTAGTTGTCCGTGGATATTACCACTAGGTAAACGCATTTTGGAATTCAATTTGCGTTCGCCAACTGGGTAAGAAACCATTTGTTGCTGCCTGTTGCCTGGCCTGGCCTGGCTGGGGCAAATGGCTTTGCAAATTGCACAGATTAGAGCCAGAAATGGAATTGAATAAAAATTTATTGGCCAAATTTATCAAGTGCTTCTACGTTTGACTGCCGCCCCACAGGCAAAACAAATTGCAATGCTGCCTGCTTTACATAAAAGACAAAATAAATACAATGTTTGTATGGCAATTTGCCACCGCCTGCATGATATATTCCGCTTAAGCCATAGACATTCAGATTTTATGTTTTGATAATTTTTAGATTTTAAAAATCATTACAAGTCACGATTTGACACAAGCGACAAAGACATTAAATTTCGGTAGAACTTAAAGGGGAGCTTTAATGTATTTACGCGTTACAATAAATCCAGCTTAAAGCTTTAAATGCAGTTCATAAAATAAATGTAGGTAGACAAAATAAAGCTATCCACAATTAAATACTTCGATATGCATTCAACACAAATACATTTAATATAGTCTTAAGCTAAGCTTCAAATGCATTCCCAAGCTTTAAGCTGGATTAAATGTAAAATATAAAATCCCAAATCTCCTGCCTGAAATATTTATATGTATTGAAGCTCAAAACTCAGATCCTATGTTAAGAAACTTGTCCAATTAAAAGTCACACTAAATTCAAATAAAACAATCTAAAAACCAATTCAGGAGCTTACAGCTTCGCTGGTTACAATTAATCCTGCTTAAAACAGCTTTAAAAGCGCTTACTCCAAAAAAATGTTATTTCATCCTTGACATTTGATCAATTATACATTTAATTTTCATTAAAAAAAAGAGCTAGTGTACTTCTGTGAACCAATTAATAAGTAAAACTACATGATCCGTATACATTACAAATAATTTTATGCGTATAGAGTCCAGTCAACACTCAACATGAGTGACTTGTGCTGTAAGCCGAATAGTTTTTCCGATTGAAAAACAAAAAAAAAAAACAAGCTGTATACAATTTATGCGGCTGACAGAATGTCCGTCGATTGTCAGAGCACATGACCAGGCACACACACACAACAAACACACGCACGCACACACAACTAGTTTGATACAATTTGGACTTGATGTGGGCATATACTTACTTACAGCCAATGTGCGTGTCTCTCACTCTCTTATTCTTATATGATTTTTTCCTATTTTTGCTGCTGCCTAAATACTTTTTGCCTAATGAGTGCGTTAGACTTAGTTGTGAGTGAGTCTCTAGCCGACCAACAAAAATTGTATAAATAAACAGATTCTGGCTGCAAATATCGTTAGTTCAAATTTAGACACAGTGCAGTGCAGTGCGTAAAGCCTATTAAATAAACAAAATACTTTAACACTATGAAATTCACTGTAAGTTGAACACGAGGCAACTTTCAAGCTTTAAGTTGAGAAAATATTAAAGTCACTTGAGTGAAAAGCTTAAATAGAATGCAAATAAAATGTTGACTTGTTAAATTTATATTTAAGAGAGCTGGCCAAAATGGTTGATAAATATTTTGTAAATTAGAACATATTAAAAATATAATAAATGAGCCTTCAGCTTGTAATTTGTAAGACCCAAAAACAAATATTTGCCAGCCTCATTTACAAGCTTTGCTGCTGCGCTGACTGACAGCTTAAAATATCTATTTTCATTTAATTATTTCTATAATTTTTTGTTGCATGCTATTCTGCTGTTTGCTGCAAATGGTAAAACCAAATGAAATAAAACAATGCAAATTGGATTGTACAGTTAATATTGCTGATTGCTGGCGCTGCCTGCATCCTGGCCGCACCCGTTGCCGAGGAGCAGCAACAACAACAGGACACCGAGTCTTCGGTCAAGGCCAAGCGTGGCCTGGCACTGGGCCTGGGCTACCACGCCCCCATTCTAACCCATTCGCATTACGTTGCCGCACCAACCATCGTTCATCATGCGCCATTGATTTCGCATGCACCGCTCATTTCCCACGCACCACTCATTGCGCACCATCCGGTGTCGTCGGTCTCCTATCACCTGCCCACCTACCACTCCATCCATCATTTCTAAGCAGTCGCTAGAGCAACCGGAGCAGCAGCAACAGCAGCTGGAGTCAACAACAAACAGTCAAGACGTGCAAAAGCGGCCAAAGTAAAACAACAACAAATTCCAGAAAAAAATAAAAACCCAAAGGAAAACTTTTCCATTCGTTTCGACCCGGTTACAACATGAATTCCTAGAAAATTGTGTACTACTACCGCCCCCTTCACAGCACCCACGCAGCTTTTAACGTTTATCATTTGCTTTTGTAAATAAAAATGTACAAAAAGTTTTCTTCTGCATTTAAACAAACGATATCTTCAGTTACAACTTTGCGCCAACTCAAGGGTAAGCTGGGCCGCCAACTTGACACTACAGTCAGAGAAATCAGCAAGCATTTCGTTCTCAACTCAAATACATATTTTGTGGGTTTTCCAATACTTAAGCTGAGAGCATATGTCATATTTGAAGACATTTTTGCTTCATCTACCAACAGACTCTGAAAATTATACTTCCACTGAAAATGTTTCACGTGTGAAAGTTCTTGTTGCAAGTATTTTGAACTGGTTCGGTTCACGGCTAGAACCAAAGGTACAGCTCTTGAGTCTTTCTTTCCACAACTAACACATTTTACAATTTTATTTTCATTTGTTTTTGATATTTGGTAAAAGTGCAAATGTTTAAATTAGAATCTAGTACCTAGTTTTTCTCTGAGTGTTTGGGGTTGAGAGTACGTGTAAGTGCAGCAGTTAAGCGCAGTCTTTGCCGCAGCCCTGTTCCTGGCAACCAATTTGAACCGCAACAGCATCTTTTGCCACTGCCACAAGTCTTTTTTGCCAGCTGCAGGCGAACAATTGTCACAACTTGGAGCACATAATCCTGGCAGTTAAGCCCTTATGGCGCAGGACAAACATTAAGTTAACATTATGATTACGCACATTATGCAACAACATTATTGTTATTATTATTACTATTATGCCCCAATGCAGCGTTTAACGAGCCTCGTGCGCATTGGCGTTTAACTTTTCATTTTGCAGCATCAAATCGGGGCTTAATGCCAATTTACGAGCTAGTCAACTTTCTACCCTTGATCAAATGTATTTAATCTGTTCAATAAGATTAAATAAGCTCGTATAAATTCTAGTTAATTCAATACAGTTTTAGACGCTCTGCCCCAACAACATAAACTGAACACATAATGTAATTAGGGCTTAGTTGGAAAAATCCATATAAAGCAGTAAAAAGTTTATCATATCCCTTGCAACTGGATGCGCTTAGTTTAAATTGTTGAAGTAAAAATCCAACGGAAAACGTTTGCGATGTTATATGTGAAAATTAAAAGTTAAATCTCAGAACAAAAAAATAGTTTCTCTATAGTAGTGAAAATTAAACACCTTTTTCTAGCAATGATTGTTCCTATAGAAGGTATATGATATAGTTATCCGATATTGAACAGAAATATTATATCAAAACGAGTCGAACTAATAATTCCCGATTGTTTATAGAAAACATAAGAAATAAAGAACGCGAAAGGAAGGGTATTCTTCTGCACGCTGAAGATTTAATACCCTTGCACTTCGAACCTTTTTATAATGCTCAAAATATGATCGCATTTAAGAAGCACAGGGAAAATATTTAATGTCAAAACAAAAAGCTGTTCATACAAAAACCAAGAACCTCTTTTTCTACCGATCGTTTCTATGGCAGCTATATGATATTGTGGTCTGATTTTGATATAATTTTTCTAATATATAAGGAGCCTAGTAAGACTCCTAAATGCCGAGTACGGTCAAAATATCTTGATAAACAAAAGACTTTTTCATTCAAGAACATACTTTTCGACCGATTGTTCCTATGGCAACTATATGAAATCCGGCTAATCCAGCCGGTTCCGGCATATATACTGCGCGAAACAGAAAGGGGGACTTATGCAAAGTTTCATGACGAAAGCTTTAAAACTGGCAGACAAGTTTGCACAGAAACCGATAGACGGACAGGCGGACATGGCTATATCGAATCGGCTGTTGATACTGACCAATAATATATGTATATACTTTATGGGGTCGGAGAGACAAAAATAAATAAGGGTATAAAAATGTCATAATTGTATCTGTTCAAGTTGGATCCATAGGATATAGTTATTCAAAGCTCGTTAGATTGGTCAATATATTAGAAAAACAAAAGAGTTAGTAACTTGTGAGTTTCAAAAAGAAAAGTAAATAAAGAAGTTTTTTCGAGACAAACTCACTTTTTGACTGCTCGTTCCTATGGAAGCGATAAGTATAAACATATGTCAACATATGTTTGGGAAAACAAAACAGTTTTTCATAAAAACAACTCCTTTCCCTTGCCTGCCATATGATACAATAATACGAGGCGAACGACTGCTATATGCACTGACTGCCACATAAAGTCGAACTGGAACTGGTCAAGCATACACTTTATAGGGTTGAAGATTGGTCCTTCCAAACGATACGCATGTCCCGACAAAATCATAGGGTATAAATGACACACACACGCGCGAATTATATCTTGAATAGTACGTGTGGTACATTTGCATTTGTATTTAACTCTACATGCACTGCATTTGTGTCTGAAATAAGCTGTATACTTATTGAAAATTTGATTCAGAATGGAGCCGAAGCTTAGTCGGAGAAACTGTCGCTCCAGTAGGTTGTCGTCAGGGGTGCCACCGACTTGAACAGATCCCGTCCCTGGCTGGGATGACCTTCCATGGCTTGGCGCTTGACTTTCGTCTCCGAATGGCGATTGCAATTGGTGCTCTGGTGGCGCTGGAGGCGCGTCTGTGTGAGGAACGTGCGCTGACAACGCTTGCACTCGTAGATGATGCCATGCTCATCATGGCTGAGGGCCATGTGCCGCTTGAGCTCGGCGCGCAGCCGGAATATCTGGGCGCAGAGCTCGCAACGGAACTGTGCGCGCTCCGCCGCGTGACGCTCCATGTGCGTCTTGTAGGCGCCACGCACCTTGAACTTTTTGTTGCATATCTGGCAGTGGAATTCATGGCGAGAGTCGTGCATTTTCCGATGCATCACATAGGATTGCTTGCGTGGAAAGCTTAAGTCACACTGGTCGCACTCGAAGGGTCCCTGCGAAGCGGCGGCGGGTGACGTTTGGAGACTGCGCCTTTTGTGGTTCTCCTCTTCTTGACTGTTAGCGCCCGCCGAGCGTTTTGTGCCCTTCTTGCGGCCACGTCGTCTGCCCGGCTTGCGTTTCTCACTGATGTCCGTGTCGGCAGAGTCGCTGTCGCCGCTTGTGGAGCCCGCAACATCGGAGACCTTAAACTCGACATCATCGTTAAGCTCCTCCTCGTCCTCTTCGCTGGCCGAGTCGGAGACCGGCGCATCTATGACCACGTAGCCACGCGGCCGACGCACTTTGTTCTTGCTGCGTGACAAGCGCTTGCGCAGTTCCCGCTCGGTGGTTTCTAGCTGCTGTCGCAGCTTTATGGCAATTGTGAGACTCTCCAGGCAGCTGTTGCATATGAACTGCGGCATAAAGTCCTTAGGCGCTATCGATACACTGGGACAAAGGAGCAGCAACATGTCGGCGGGCGTGCTGCCTTCGCTGGTCTTGGTAAAGAGACTGACCAGCTGGTCCTTGGTGGTGCAGACACGGCACTGTGTTTCATCCACGGGCTCTACCTGGGCTTGCGCTCCAGAACGTGCTCTGGCAGACGCCTCTTCTGTTGGACCTGGCTGAGCATCATCACCTGTGATGATTTCTCCCTCATCCTCTGCCTCAACCAGTTCTTCCACAGCTTCTTCGACAGAATCGTCTACAGACTCTTCGATAGCTTCTTCTACCGAGTCTTCCACAGGCTCCTCAGCTGTCTCACTTGGCGCACTTTCTGCAGCAGCTGATGCTGTTGTAGTTGTTGTTGTTGGTTCGTCTTCTTTATTATTCACCGCCGTTGATGCGTCCTCTTCTACTTCTGTTAACTCCCGCTCGTCATCGCACTCGTCTTCAGCCATTTCGTCTTCTAGATATTCGACTTCGCCCATTTCCTCCTCGCCATCCACCTCCTCCTCTTCGTCATGCTGCTCTGCTGCCACCACCGATGTCTGTGGTTCGACATGCGCCGCCGCATTACCCTAGAAAATGTTAAGCATGTTTTTACTCTTGCGATTTATCTAACACACACCCCCTCCCCACCCTTCTGCGCACCTCTGCCATGTACACAACAACACTGTTCGCGTCTGCTTCCTCTTCCTCTGCAACGGCACTGCTGGCCGCCCACGCATTTGTGGCAGACGCCACCTCCGGCTGCGGCTGCGGCTGAGACTGCGGCTGGGGTTCCGTCTCCACTTCCTCCTCTCCATTCTCAGCCACTCCATTTGTGGTCGCCGCAGGCGTTATTTCCTCTTCCATTTCGTATTTTGTTTTGTGCTTTTTGGCGCCTCAATATTTACGCCGGCCCCCACAAACAGTTCGGCAAGTAAATTTGTTTTCTTTATTTTCACGGTCCACTTTACAGTTTTCAATATACTCTTTCTTCTTGGGGTCTGACGCAATCGTTATAATGTTTATAGCTTGCTCTCTAATTGCACAACTTAACACTGTTTCAAGCGAAAAGGCCCAAACATTTATTAGTTTTTACAAAACAACGCCATATTGTATGAGTACATACACGCAGCGCACAGCTGTTTTGGGTATCGATGCCTGTGCGCATGTCAAATAAATATCGATAGGCCGATAACAACGCATGTTGCGACACGAGCGCGCCAAAATGAGTACGAATTTGAAATGAAAAAAGTAGCGAATATTTAAATGAATTATTTAAAGTGTATTTTGGCAGAAACGCAAAAAGAGTACACGTATTTAGCATATGGCATTTGCCCATTTGCATCACTTTTTTAAAAGAAATTTCCGTTCTGCTTTAAATTCGAATTTCAACCAATTAAAAGCACTTAGCCCCCAACTTACAATATATACAAAGCTATCCATGCATTCATCGTTAAGTATATCTATAAAGTGTTTTTCAGTGAAAATCAAATTCCATGACAATGCTTTTACGCAGCTATTATAATAGCAAGAAAAAAAGTACCCCCCCACATCAATAAAATGGGCCCATTCGTCGTCAAGTGCGTAAACCAAAAAAAATATATAAATAAATAAATATCCAGTGCGGCAGACACAACATGGGCGACATATTTATTTCAATTATAAGAATTCGAAGACCAAAGTGCTGTCACGAATAAAAAATAAAGCAAGAAAATTGTTT